TGGCACGAAATTTTCTTTTTTGGATAACAAACATATAACCTTTCCAAAGACTCTAGGATCAGTCCATCTCTTGACAATTTAATATCGGAAATAGAGACAAAGTGGCGTGTATTTGACGTGTGTTGCATGCAAAACCAAAAAAATGTGAAGCCTTTTTGTTTAATGTTTCCAAATATCGAAATAAAATTTTCTCCAGGGGATAGTGAAGTTTGCATCCTTGTCGAGTCACCCCAAACTCACCCATTCGGACCATTTGTCAACCTACTTAACCTCGGAGATAAAAACTCTTCGTCGAAAAGAGACCAAGTAACGTGTGTACAATGAGGGAAACAATTTCATTTATTCGGCATTTTCCAGGATAAAGAACACAGCAACAAGAAACAAAAACACATCACACAAAATACACTGAAATCACAAACACAAACTTACAAATGCCCGGAGAGGCACAGTTAATCCAATAACTGTCACCATTAAGACTTCATTTCTGAAGCTCCAGGTTTTACACACATACAAAATAAAGTAACAGCACAAGATTCAAGAAATGGCAAATAAATAAATCGAACAGAAAAATATACAGTTGGCAAAATAAGATAAATATGACATACAAATACATTAAAATAACAAAAATAAAATTAATTACAGAAACAAATCAATCAATTAAACAATAAGTACCCCCAAAACAATGAAAGAAATTTATTGTGTAAAAACCGAAAAAAGGAAGACAGCATGAAATAACAAAATACAGTTGAATACCGACAAAAGCAAAACCATTGACACATCTGGCCCACATAACAAATCCTAGGTATTCAAATCCCCCCATTTTGTGCTTCCTTGCACCAAACAACACAGTGACCCTCCCACAATTTGCCAGTACCAGCGACCTTATTACAAGGGTACTCCACTGCAAATTCAATCAGTACTCTGTAAAGTTGATCCCGTGTTGAAGGGTTATTTAAACCTCTTCAGTTCTCAAACATTCAGGTACATGTAGGTCATCTCAAGAGCATGTAATTGGCAAAATGATGAGGTTTTTTAATTCGTGCCCTAAGGTTTGTCAAGCCTGATCGTTTCAATATACCACCTATTCACTAAGACTATTTCACGGTCAAAAGCTCTATGAAGACCTCTAACAACAAATGTAAGCAAAAGATGGCTGCTTTTAGATTCATGTAAAGACAAATTCAATGTACATATGCAAGCAATCCGTGTAATCCATTTTAAATCTTCTTCACTAGAGAATTATCCCGGTTGCTCAACGTTGAATTTTGCTCTAATTTATCAATATATAAGGTTTCTGTTGTGAAGGTA